CAAAAAACACTCATTAACAAGGAATAACGGAGGCCAGTGTAGTATCTAACTTTAAAGTTATTCTCAAAGCGGTTTTCATTCTGATTTTGCGGGTAAAAAATGCTTTGGGCGGGTGGGGAGAATTTGGGTGGATTTGGAGTCAGATCGGCGGTTTTTGAGTTACGTTCACAACAAAGAAATGGTGAGGCGGCACAATAAATTATGCTAGTTTTAGGCATACACATTTTTTTTCATTCAACCTTTATTTATACAGTATATATATATATATATATATATATATATATATATATATATATATATATATTTATACACATACATACATACACACACACACATATATATATATATATATATATTTATTTATTTATACACATACATACATACATATATATATACATACACATACATATATATATATACAATTGTGCGGGTTTTTGTGTGATGTGGCGGTTTTTAACAGATTTTTATGCTGGAAAACCTCGACCATCTGGCAACACTGCCAGTTACCGTGATAGACAGCATCCAACATCAGCAAGGTGCTTGCAGGAGCATTCATGTACATTCATCGTTACATCCACACTAAAATTAAGCTCAAGTAAACTAAAGTAAATTGCACCATGATAACAGCCTTTTTGGATCCATCAACAAGGTTCTGGTTGGATTTTATGAGATAAAAGTGCGATCATGATCCACACGGTCCTCCACAGATGCCAAGTCACTTAGCTACAAAAACTGCAGTTAACATCAAGATGAATGTATTCATACAAACCTAATGTGTGCAGACGATCTCTAGGGTTCAAAACAGCATCCAGGATTTTGTTTTGTTGCATTTTTTCCTTTATACGAGACCTTTCCTCTTCATAATCTGGGCCCGTTATGTCCAGAAACTCCCGACATTTATTGTGCCGCTACTTCCAGTCGTCGCCTCTACATCTGTTAGCTTTCCTTGATCTAAAGTTTCCTATAACAGTCACTGATCCGAACTCAATAAGCTGGATTTACTGTAAACGTTACAGAAACTTTATAAATCGCTGAAGAGCGCAGACGATCTGTCTGAGGCTAAAGCTAAGGCTAAAAAAAAAAAAAAAAAAAAAGACGAAGTAGCGCTTGAGTCGAAGCTCGATTCGTTTAGTCTGAGTCACGTGATCACAGACTTTTTCCAAATCTTTATTTAGAACTTTACTTCAAATACAACAATTAAAAAAAATACACACTAAATAACATTGAACATAAAAAAAGAAGAAAAAAGGAAGCAAACAATAATAATAATAAATAAATAAAATATAAAGAAACAATTGTGCGTTACAAAGTTAAGTTGTATTCATTAGATATTTTTTGTTTTTATAGCCTTTTTGTTAATCGAGTCTGAGATTGAGTCAAGAAACTGTTTTACATCCATTACAAAGAGATCAAAAAATGGTTTCTTATGCATTATTTAACTTTTATGGATATGGAACTTAGCAAGAAACAAGATCAGATTGATACTAAATACGTGAGAAGAGTCTTTCGTCTTGAAATCTAGCATACCAAACAGAACATTTTCAAAATAGAGAAGGAAACCTGGTTGGATATTATTGGATATCAGAGCAACAATGTCCTTCCAAAAGTTCGGTGAGTATGTTCATTTCCAAAAAAGATGAACAGATGTTTCTGGATAAATCTTGCAGAATGAACAGGAAAGATCAATATCAGCTTTATATTTATGAAGAAAGTGTTTGGTTGGATAAAATTTATTTATTAATTTAAAATAAACTTCTTTGACTTTTATTAGTGAGAAAAAAAATTGTGGGAGAGACCAAACTTTTTTCCAATTAAGATTCTGCACAAAGGTGTTCCAATAGGAAACACAAGATGGGGATGAAACCAGATTTTCTTGAAATAAAGAACAGATTTTGGAATTGACGCCTTTTAATTGAGTTGAGAAACAGAGCTTACCAACAACAGACTGCTTAGGGTCAGGAGGACTCATAGACTGGATAGAAGAGAAGTCAACATCTTTAAACAACATGAGCAAACCAGATGGGATAGCATCAAAGACAATACTATATTCTCTTGGAGCGACAGGAACCTTGCACAGAGGTAGAGTCTTGCTTACTAAAGCAGAAGGACTGTCCCGTCTGGCCTATACTGCCCAGTCTCTTTATGTTGATAAATCAGTTTGTAAATCTGTCGACAGATTGCTCTCCGACTTCTTAAGGAAAAACAAAACACATTACAGGGCCATATATGGCCTATAATTGCCCATTCCTGGTTGGCAGGCCAGACAAAGAGCGATCCAGAAGATTTATATGGACAGGAAAAAACAAGAAACTCAGTGTCCCTTGCCCAGACGTGGGTTACCGGGGCCCCACCCTGGAGCCAGGTCTGGGGGAGGGGCTCGTCTGCGAGCGCCTGGTGACCGGGTCTCTGCCCATGGGGCCCGGTCGGGAACAGCCAGAAGCAACATGGGTTTGCATTCCTGTGGACCCACCACCTGCAGGAAGGGCCATAAAAGTCAGGTGCATGATGCTATTGGGCAGTGGCCGAATGCGGGGACTTTGGTGCTATGACTTTGGCTTACCAAAGCTGGCTCTTGGGACATGGAACATGATCTCTCTGGTGGGGAAGGAGCCTGAGCTTGTGAGCGAGGTTGAGAGATACCGACTAGATACAGTTGGGCTCACCTCGCCGCACAGCATGGGCTCTGGAACCGATCTCCTTGAGAGGGGATGAACCTTATTCCACTCTGGAGTTGCCCATGGTGAGAGGTGTCGAGCTGGTGTGGGTCTACTTGTAGCCCCCTGACTTGGTGCCTGTGTGTTGGAGTTTTCCCCGGTAGATGAGAGGGTGGTTTCCCTTCGCCTTTTGGTGGGGGGGACGGGCTCTGACTGTTGTTTGTGCCTACGCGCTGAACGGCAGTTCAGAGTATCCGGCCTTCTTGGAGTCTTTGGCAGGGGTACTGGAAGGTGCGCCAGCTGGGGACTCCTTTATTCTGCTGGGGGACTTCAATGCCCACGTGGGTAATGACAGTGTGACCTGGAAGGGCGTGATTGGGAGGAACGGCCTCTCTGATCTGAACCCGAGCGGTGTTCTCTTGTTGGACTTCTGTGTTAGTCATAGTTTGTCCATCACGAACACCATGTTCGAACATAAAGGAGTCCATAAGTGCACTTGGCACCAGGATGCCCTAGGTTGTAGATCGATGATTGACTTCATAGTTGTGTCATCTGATTTACGACCGCTTGTTTTGGACACTCGGGTGAAGAGAGGAGCTGAGCTGTCAAGTGATCACCACCTGGTAGTGAGTTGGAGCAGATGGTATGGGGAAGATGCCAGACAGACCTGGTAGACCCAAACGTGTAGTGAGGGTTTGCTGGGAACGCCTGGCAGAAGAACCCGTCAGAGAGATTTTATAGACAGGAGGTCCTGGAGCTAGCAACCTGGTGCTCAGAGAAAAACCTGGCTCTGAATATCAAAAAAACAAGGAGGTAATTATTGATTTCAGGAAGCACAACACCAACCTAGACCCACTTTACATCAATGGCGAGTGCGTGGAGAGGGTTCACACTTTCAGATTTCTTGGTGTCCATATCTCTGCTGACCTCAACTGGAAAGAGAACACCACAGCGGTCATCAAGAAGGCTCAGCAGAGACTACAATTCTTAAGAGTACTTAAGAAGGACAACCTGAACACCAAATTTCTGTTGACCTTCTACCGTTCGTCCATCAAGAGCCTTCTGACATACTGTATTTCTGTATGGTACGGCAGCTGCACCCTGGCTGACAGGGAGAGGCTTCAGAGAGTAGTCAAGACAGCACAAAAGATAATTGGCTGCCCTCTCCCCTCCCTGATGGACATTTACACATCTCACTGCCTCAACAGAGCAGAAAGCATAATCAAGGACTGTTCACACCTGGGTTTTGAACTGTTTGACTTGTTGCCTTCAGGGAAGCGCTACAGGCGCATCAGAACAAGAACCAACAAATTCAAGGTTTTTTCCCAAAAGCCATTACCACACTGAACTCACGTATGCACTGATTTAATAATCTAACCTCCCAACCCCCTGGACTTCTATTGTGCAATACTACTGACACTTCATACTCTCAATCTCTTAACTGCCTCACTAATATCCATAATGTGTAATAAAATTGTGAAATACTTGCATTTTTTACTTTCATAGTGCTATTATATCTATATTGCGTTACTTTTTAAAAATATTTTTAGTGTTTTTCTTAAGCACTGAAAAAAGGAGTGACTCTTAATATCATTGTACTTGTGTATAATGACAATAAAGGCATTCTGATTCTGGTTCTCCGAGAGATCTTCAACTCACACCTCCAGGAGAGCTATAATCGCATCCCAGCTGAAGTGCAGGACATTGAGTCCGAGTGGGCCATGTTCTGCGCCTCACTTGATGAGGTAGCTGCCTTGAGCTGTGGCCACAAGGTTGTCAGTGCTTCTCGCGGTGGCCATCCACGAACTCGGTGGTGGACACCTCGGGTCAGGGAGGCTGTCAAGCTGAAGAACGCATCCTATCGGGCCTTGTTGGCCTGTGGGACTCTGGAGGTAGCTGAGGAGTACCAGAGTGCCAAGCGGACTGCGTGTAAAAATAAAAAAGACACTTGATATCAGGATTATTAAAAAAATACACCAATGGCTTGCCCCAGTGAGTTTCAAGTACCTCAGTTCATGACTTACTTGGTTTGCCATACTGGCACTTCTCATTGCTCTTCATTGACAGTGATAATTAGGATCACAAAGTTTTTCCACACAGTTGACCTGAAATAAACATGCAGGTCTTCAAGCTCTTCTGTTTCATCTGAAGAAAATATTCATGCTTTGCTTTGGTGTGGAGAACTTCAGATAGTATGTTCTTCTACTTATCATAGCAATTAAGAAAATGTAGTTAAATAAACTGTCTGTCTACTTGTAGAGGAAAGAGGTGATTGCCTGTGAACAACATTCTTTTCATTTTCATCTCTGTACCTGTCCCAAACACACAATCTGTGACAGTCTGGTACAAATATATGTGCCATTAAACCTCTAACATAAACAGATAAATGCTGTTAAAAAAAAATCTAGTTACAGAAAACAATTATTCAAACAATTTTTACAAAATACCTTAGCTGTTCAGTTTCGAGTTTGAGTGAACTCAAGTGTCTTTAGAAATTGTTTTAATATTTAAAATTGAACTGTTTTCTCCTCCTGTGTGGATTCTCATGTGTCTGTTTAAATTTGACTTGTGCCCAAATGTTAGTCCACAAAAATCACAAGCAAATGGTTTCTGTCCTGTGTGGATTCTCATGTGCGAGTTTAAAGTTGACTTTTCTCTAAACTTTTGTCCACAAACATCACAAGCAAATGTTTTTTGTCCTGTGTGGATTCTCATGTGTCTGTTTAAAGTTGACTTGTCTGTAAACTTTTGTCCACAAACATCACATGCAAATGGTTTCTGCCCTGTATGGATTCTCATGTGTATGTTTAAAGTTGACTTATCTCTAAACCTTTGTCCACAAACATCACAAGAAAATGGTTTCTGTCCTGTGTGGATTCTCATGTGTTTGTTTAAATGTGACTTTTGTCCAAACGTTTGTTCACAAACATCACAAGCAAATGTTTTATGTCCTGTGTGGATTCTCATATGTCTATTTAAATGCGACTTGTGTCCAAACCTTTGTCCACAAACATCACAAGGAAATGGTTTCTGTCCGGTGTGGATTCTCATGTGCATGTTTAAATGTGACTTTTGTCCAAACCTTTGTTCACAAACATCACAAGCAAATGGTTTTTGTCCTGTGTGGATTCTTATGTGTCTGTTTAAATGTGACTTGTGTCCAAACCTTTGTCCACAAACCTCACAAGCAAATGGTTTTTGTCCGGTGTGGCTTCTCATGTGTGTGTTTAAATTTGACTTGTGTCCAAACCTGTGTCCACAAACATTACAAGCAAATGGTTTCTGTCCTGTGTGGATTCTCACATGTATGTTTAAAGTTGACTTATCTCTAAACTTATGTCCACAGACATTACAAGGAAATGGTTTCAGTCCCGTGTGGATTCTCATATGTCTGCTTAAATATGACTTGTGTCCAAATCTTTGTTCACAAACATCACAACTAAATGATTTGTGTCTTGGTGGGATTTGTTTGTTTGAGCCTCCAGTTTTTTTCACTCTAAAACATTTCTCATTGAACAAACAACTTGAGGATTTTATTCTTGAATGACCCATCTTGTTTCTCTGGACATATGGATTGTGGAGAAATTGTTTCTCACACTCAGAGAAGCTGCAAGATTTGTTGACAATGTTTACACTTGACTCAGGAGCCCTGCTCTCCGTCCAGTCTTTGTCACTGTCTTCAGGTTCGGATCCAGAGTCTGACGAGTCTTTCAGCTGAGAATCAGGATCATTCACATCCTCATCATCCACACTGTCTTCAGTCTCTGAAGAGCTGGAATCATCTTCATTAGTATTTAGGGCTGGGTTCCTGGTAGTTTTTGCTCCTCCACAGTCTTCTCCAACAGTTAATGCATTCATCTGGTCAGCTGAGCTTCTGGGTGGAAGATGTACTGTATCTTCTACTTGGTGCTGATGAAGCTTCATATGGAGGAGCTCTGGGTCTTTCTGGTCCACATCAGACCTCCATTCTTCAGAAGTTTCTTCTACAATCAGCATCATCTGCTGAACATCTGTAGGGAATAGTGAAACACAAACGTTAAGGACAGTTGAAACTTGATATTCACACAAACATCACTTGTTGAGTTCACTGATCACCTCAAAACAACATCTAATGCTGAACGTCAGAAAAACCTCCTGAAACAAATTTAGTGAGATAGACATCCTGACTGGCTATAAGAAGATAGTAAAACAAATACAAGTGCTGGTCATAAAATTAGAATATCATGAAAAATTTGATGTATTTCAGTAATTCCATTCAAAAAGTGAAACTTGTATATTCTATTCATTCATTACACACAGACTCTCTCTGTCATGAAGGGTTGCAAACCATGGTTTAGGTTAAAAAAAACTCTTGTTGCAGTCCACTAAAGTCCACACACAGCTGGTTCTTAACGATTTCAACATTAGCTAATCCTTCCATTAATTGCTCAATTTGTTTTGTTATGTTAGTTAACTGTGACAGCTTGCGTGCCTGGATTTGTTTAGCTTTACATTGCTCTGCAGCCTTCTCTGTCATTTTTACTGTCCGTTTTTCTATATTTTCATCCATGTAGTACAACCAGTAAAAACAGCAACAAAGAGCAGTCTTTATCCAACAACAGGGTTCCACCTGAGCTGTCCAGTCACAACTTGCCTCCAGTAATTTTCCATTCACCTTGCACAGCAGATCACCAGAAAACTTTTACTCACGGATGGGCAGTCACTGTTATCCAAATCACCGAGATATCTGGTAAAGTTTCCAGTACTCCTTCGTCGAGTCAGGCAGTTCCACTTTTCCTGGGCTTGTGAAGTGCCAGTTTTTTGACTAAACGTAGGTTTCCAATGATTGAAGCCAATGCTTCAATGCAAGCTTGATGCTCTGAGGCGTCTCCTAATCCTTAACACCATGCATAAAAATTCCACAGAGTTCTTAGTCAAACACTTTACTTCTGTTGATAAAAAGCAAAACTTGTACAAAATTAAAGAGAAGGAACTACAGAAACATAGCGTGAGGTCAAAAAACTGTATGGCTTGACTCTGCTCCACCTGACTGACGATTTCCTGACTAACTCCCTGCCAAATAAACCCCACTCATCTCAATACAGGTAATCATCAAAACTAGGGATGCACGATATTATTGGCATGGTATCAGCCAATATTAGCGTTAAAGTTCAATATCGGACATCGGCCATTCCACTAAAATAACTCGTCAATATAAGAGGCGCTGTTTTTGCCTGCAGCGGCAGCACAACTCGATGACATTGCAGCACAATGTGATGACGTCGCAGCGGCAGCACAACGCGATGACGACACACGCGACTACCTGATCTCACGGCGGAGAGGAAAATTCAAAATGTCGGCAGTGTGGAAGTTTTATTTTTCGTTGGTGAGGATGTCAGATTCCGAAGATTTATGGACTAGGTTGAGCCTCGCTACATCGTCCTCAGTCAGAGATATTTTTCCGACGCAACGTTACCCGTGTTACAAGCCGTCATTTCTGACGTCATCGAGAAGCTAATAGCCAATAGCATAACTTGTTGGGTGAGTTTTACCACAGACATTTGGACGTCCTGTTAGCCCTGTTAGCATGATTAGTCTTACAGCACAATGGATAGACAAAAACTTTTTAACTTAAAAAGGCTGTCCTTTATGCACATGAGTGCAGAGGATCCCACACTGCAGCTAGAAACCTGGAACAAGCCTCCACAAGTTCATAAGTGACTAATGTTAATAAATAACATTCAACACTTTTCATTTAATATAAGTTAAAGTGCTATGCATATCATATGGCTGTTACTGAATATATGTCACCATCTCTTACAGCTGTTGCACAATTTTTGCAGCAAATAAGCCTCAATAAGTTGATCTGACAAAGGAACATATATAAACTATCGATATTGGCATCGGTTATCAGCCAAATAAGTTTTAACATATCGGCATATCGGATATCGGACAAACATCTAATATCGTGCATCCCTAATCAAAACACCTAATTTTACACTGTTACTGGAAAATATATAACTTAAAATCTCTAATAAATCTTATATTGTTTTATCTATTTATCTTTTAAAAAAATTAACTAAATATCACACCTATATCTTTATCATTTTAAATGAATCTCAGTGTACCACCTATGAACTCAAAACTATAGTTAGATTTGTTAACCATTATAAACTGCATTTAGGCTCCAACAGATATATTCCAAATGTTTATTTCTTTTAATGATGATTATAACTGACAACTAATGAAAACCCCAAATTCAGTATCTAAAAAAATTAGAATATTGTGAAAAGGATCAATATTGACGACACCTGGTGCCACACTCTAATCAGCTAATTAACTCAAAATACCTGCAAGGTTCTCTCAGTCCAGTTCTGTAGGCTACACAATCATGGGGAAGACTGCTGACTTGACAGTTGTCCAAAAGACAACCAGTGACCATTTGCACAAGGAGGGCAAGAAGCAAAAGTCATTGTATATTGTTTTATGTGTTACCTGTTGCTCTGTCTGTACAGCACTTTGATTGGCCTTGTCACTGTTTTAAGTGCTCTATAAATAAAATGGTATGGTATTGCTAAAAAGGTTGACTGTTCACAGAGCTCTGTGTCCAAGCACATTCATAGAGGCAAAGGGAAGGAAATGATGTGGTAGAAAAAAATAGAGTACAAGTAATAGGGAAAACCGCACCCTGCAGAGGATGGTGAAACATAAAACATTCCAAAATGTGGGGGAGATTCACAAAGAATGGACTGAAGCTGGAGTCAGTGCTTCAAGAACCACCATGCACAAATGTATGCAAGACATGGGTTTCAGCTGTCATATTCCTTGTGTCAAGCCACTCTTGAACAAGAGACAGCCTCAGAGGCATCTCGCCTGGGCTAAAGACAAATAGGACTGGACTTCTGCTGAGTGGCCCAAAGTTATGTTCTCTGATGAAAAAAAATTTAAATTTCCTTGGGAAATCAAGGTCCCAGAGTCTGAAAAAAGAGAGGAGAGGCACATAATCTATGTTGCTTGAGGTCCAGTGTCAAGTTTCCACAGTCAGTGATGGTTTGGGGTACCATGTCATCTGCAGGTGTTGGTCCACTGTTTTCTGAGGTCCAAGGTCAACAAAGCCATCTACCAGGAAGTTTTAGAGCACTACATGCTTCCTGCTGCTGACCAACTTTATAGAGATCCAGATTTCATTTTCCAACAGAACTTGGCACCTGCACACAGTGCCAATGCTACCAGTACCTGGTTTAAGGACCATGGTATCCTTGTTCTTAATTGGCCAGCAAACTCGCCTGACCTTAACTTATAGAACATCTATGGGGTATTGTGAAGAAGATGCAATACGCCACACCCAACAATTCAGACAAACTGAAGGTCACTATCAGAGTAACCTGTGCTCTCATAACACCTGAGCAGTGCCACAGACTGATCGACTCCATGCCACACCATATCGCTGCAGTAATCCAGGCAAAAGAAGCCCCAACTAAGTATTGAGTGCTGTACATGCTCATACTTTTCATGTTCATACTTTTTACTTGGCCAACATTTCTAAAACTCCTTTTTATTTAATTGGTCTTAAGTAATATTCTAATTTTTCTGAGCTACTTAATTTGGGGTTTTCATTAGTTGTCAGTCATAATTAGGTCTGGGCCATATCATATCGTTCACAATAATACCAGTTTTAAAAAAAAAGCTTGCCCGCAAAAATAAATGATATCATGATAAGCTAATTTCATGACGTAATATGTCAGGGTGCCCCATCCCATTAACAGAACCGAGCGATACTTACCCAGTTTTCCCCCTACCATTATACAGGCGGGGTGCCCCACCCCGTCAACAGAACTGAGCACACCGCCTACCATACTGAACGTTCCCCTCCCACCCCCACTGACATATCACTAAGCTAGCGGCGCAAAATACAGGCTCTCTAGCTAAAAAGCCAAAGGCAGCACTCACATTGCCTCTTCCCAAAAGCTGAACGCCCCCCACCCCTGCTCAAAAACTGTTAGTACAAGCTGCGCTCAGACATGTCTCCGTCCTCCCCCATCAGCAAAAATCACAGATGAGATGAGCACCCCGCCATGGCAAGCTAATTAGGGGAAACACTGTTACCAATACTTTATTAATTCAAGACGGAAATTAAATGTTGTAACTCATCATCCTGGTTTCATTAAAGAGTTGTTATAGATGCTGATGGCTGTGGGCAGGAAGGATCTCTTCTAGCGGTCTGTCTTACAGCAGATCTGAAGAAGCCTCTGACTGAAGACACTTTTGTTGTATGACAGACTGATGAATGAAATGGAATCATTCCTGCAGGAATAGAGGAAGCTGAAACACCAACAAGAGTCAGGGTCAGCTGATCACCTTGTCAAGTTTTGGAAGTTATACCTCATTTAAAGGCAAGATATATTTTGTTGTATGTTACATTTATGCTCAACAGATCTTAAGCTTTCATTTTATTTAGTTATTTTGGGAAACTTCACCTGTACTTTAGTTTTTGTGGTGGATTTTGTTGGTCTATATTTTGTGCAGACTTTTTAAATCTAAATAACCGAAGGATCTTTTTTATTTTTATAATTGGAGACTGAATACTTTACTAAATAAAGTAATTTCAGTAAAATTAACTCTTGTTTTTATATATATATATATATATATATATATATATATATATATATATATATTACTGCAAAGCAAAATGTTAAGTTAATTTTGTCAAATGAATAACTTTAATTTCTGTTTTGTTTTTTGGTTCTACCATGAAATTTATCGTTATCGCCAGAATGCACTGAAATATCACAATATAATATTTGAGCCATATCGCCCACCCCTAGTTATAATCATAAACATTAAAAGAAATAAACATTTGAAAAATATCGGTCTGTGTGTAATGAAGGAATATAATATACAAGTTTCACTTTTTGAATGGAATTATTGAAATACAAACTTTTTCATGATATTCTAATTTTATGACCAGCACCTGTATAGCAGACATGTCAAGGTAAAGACCAGTCATATGTCATGTAAAATAGCCAGCAGC